GAATATTTTAAATTATAAGAAAACTTCATAAACTTCATAAAAGTTTTCTTATAATGTTGGTATTGCAGACATGAATCCTTGTAAAAAGGTTTCAGTTTTGTTGCCAGAAAAAGGGGAAAAATCCTATTATTGTTGTCTGTCACCTTCCGTAAGTGATCCACACTGTTCTAAAAACGAGCCATTCCCCCCCCCCCCCCCCCCCCCAAATACCTATTTTAAGTTTAATGAATCCACAATGAGATATCGAAATGTATCCATCAGTTTCCAAGAGTTCGTGACAAAGCTTCAGAAATTACCCATTAGGTTTAAAATAATTGTCAATCAAGTTCCAGGTATTAATGGTCCACGTGAAACATTGTCAGTTGAATTTTGATTTAAAGCTTTCGTGACTGCAGTAATTCATATTCTTAGTTTTTTCGGTAAAGTCACGTTGAAGAGAAACAACAAAATAACAAAATATATATAAAACAATAAAAAATTCTCACGACGTTTCGACCATAACTCAAACGGTCATCATCAGGTGTGTCGGTTTGCATAAATTTATTTTGAAAACGGCATATTTATTTATATATTAAAAAAAAATGTTTGCGTCACGCGCAACGATGGCAGTTTGCCAGGACTAGTCCATCTATTTTTTGAAAAGAGGAGGGGGGAGACGAAATTTGTTTTTATGTATGCTGTCTGAAAGGCACTGTAAGCGTGAACAATCAATCAAGAACTGAAATGATTTATCAAATCTTTCCAATGATTGCTAAGATAGAATCCATCTTCTCGGTTGAAATTGTCTCTGTGTTTGTATATGTGGATAGCCTCATGAACGAATCTCTCATGGAAGCCAGATGGCTTACAAAGAACCTCCGTCTTGGAAAAGTCAATGGCATGTGAGCCTACTGAATTAGAACAATGATCTGCTACGGCCGAGGTGTTGGTCCTACCGTGTTTAAGGTCTGCTTTATGTTCACGAATGCGGTCCGAGATATGGCGTTTGGTTTCTCCAATGTAACTACTACCACAGAGGCAACTTAGTTTGTAGACACCAGGGTATTGTATGTCCGGAATCACATCTTTTACAGACGGAACCAGATCACGGATTTTATGTAATGTGTTGAAACGGACCTGGATCTTGTGTTTATTCAAGATTTTGGAGATCTTTTTTGTGATCCCAGCAATGTAGGGTAAAGTGATGGTTTTGAAAGGCTCCTCAAGAGGGTTCTTCTTCATGGTTTGAGTGATAGCTTTGCGAATTGTATAGTCGGAGTAACCATTAGCCCTAAGAGCTTGGTGTACGTGCTTGAGTTCACTGCTTATGTGTTCCTGGTCGGATATGCATTGGGCTCTATGATACAGAGTCTTGATGAGAGAATTCTTCTGTGATGGATGGTGGTGGGAATCCGGTTTCAGATAAGCATCCGTATGGGTAGCTTTCCTGTAGACAGAGTGGCTCATTGAACCATCAGGTCTCTTTTTAATTAGGACATCCAAAAAAGGTATCTTGCCATCTATTTCGACTTCCATGGTAAATCTGATGGCTGGGTGTATGGAATTGATGTGGTCGAAGAATTTGTCTAGAGCAGGCCGGCCATGTGGCCAGATGACAAAAGTGTCATCCACGTACCTCTTCCATAAGGTTGGGCGCAGAGTGGCAGTCTGGATGGCGTCAGTCTCAAATTTCTCCATGAAAATGTTAGCTATAACTGGAGAAAGGGGGGAGCCCATTGGGGTGCCCTCAGTTTGTTTGTAGAAAGTTCCATTCCAAGTGAAGTATGTATTGGTTAAACAGTGTCTCACCAGGGGGGGTACCTCAGTGTTTAGTCCTTGATGAACCAAGTCTTCAATGATTGCAATGGTGTCAGGTACAGGAACCTTGGTGAATAAGGAAACTACATCAAAACTGACAAGCAGGTCGTCTGGGGACAGGGAAATACCCTTGATTGTTGATACCAGGTGAGTAGAATTTTGTACCGCAGAGGTGGTCTTTCCAGTGAAAGGACGCAGGATTTCAGACAAAAAACGAGCTAGTTTGTAGGTGGGGGAGCTGATAGTAGAGACTATGGGACGAAGAGGTGTATCAACTTTATGTATTTTTGGTAAGCCGTATAATCTTGGTGGCCTGGCAGCAGAAGGTTTCAACGAAAACTGTTTAGATTGATCAATTAATGCGGTTGAATCAGAAATTATTTTGTTGGTTTGTGTGACGAGGCTGTTGGTGGGATCTCTTTTTATTTTTGTATAACTACCATCGTCGAGTAATTCTTTAATTTTGTTGTTGTATTCTATTTTATCCATGATAACAGTAGCATTGCCTTTGTCAGCTGAGAGAACTACAATATCATTCCTCTTTTATAATTTATATAATTCAAAACGCTCATCTTTGCTGAGGTTGCTAGCTGGCATCTTAGCGTTTTTGAGGGTTGCAGCGATTTCAGATCTTGCTACGTCTGCAGCGATGTGACCCAGGCCCCTGAGAGCAACGTCTACTTGGGCAATTATATCATTAACTGGTATGTGTTTAGGTGTGACTGCAAAGTTTAGACCTTTAGCTAAAACGGATTTCAGACCATCGGAAATAGAACTGTTACTGCGATTAATTACGACTTTATTAACGTCTAACTTTTTGGTGTGTGGGTCCGGTCTTTTGTTTAAGAGGAGGTTAAATTTGGAAATCAGGTTTTCCTTACATTTGGTCGACATAGTAGCAGCTGAAGAGGCAGTCATATTGTCTACATGTTCCCAATCCGATGTGGACATTATTGCCGTCAATGATAAGTGTGATTTGTAGAGTGTCTTGTCTAACTGATCTAGTTCTGTTGAGGAGCCTTTCAAAACCATCACTTTACCCTACATTGCTGGGATCACAAAAAAGATCTCCAAAATCTTGAATAAACACAAGATCCAGGTCCGTTTCAACACATTACATAAAATCCGTGATCTGGTTCCGTCTGTAAAAGATGTGATTCCGGACATACAATACCCTGGTGTCTACAAACTAAGTTGCCTCTGTGGTAGTAGTTACATTGGAGAAACCAAACGCCATATCTCGGACCGCATTCGTGAACATAAAGCAGACCTTAAACACGGTAGGACCAACACCTCGGCCGTAGCAGATCATTGTTCTAATTCAGTAGGCTCACATGCCATTGACTTTTCCAAGACGGAGGTTCTTTGTAAGCCATCTGGCTTCCATGAGAGATTCGTTCATGAGGCTATCCACATATACAAACACAGAGACAATTTCAACCGAGAAGATGGATTCTATCTTAGCAATCATTGGAAAGATTTGATAAATCATTTCAGTTCTTGATTGATTGTTCACGCTTACAGTGCCTTTCAGACAGCATACATAAAAACAAATTTCGTCTCCCCCCTCCTCTTTTCAAAAAATAGATGGACTAGTCCTGGCAAACTGCCATCGTTGCGCGTGACGCAAACATTTTTTTTTTTAATATATAAATAAATATGCCGTTTTCAAAATAAATTTATGCAAACCGACACACCTGATGATGACCGTTTGAGTTATGGTCGAAACGTCGTGAGAATTTTTTATTGTTTTATATATATTTTGTTATTTTGTTGTTTCTCTTCAACGTGACTTTACCGAAAAAACTAAGAATATTGTCAGTTGAGTTCAGGAAATGTACAGTACGATCTGATGTTTAAACGGAATCATTCGTCCTATAAATTACCCGTTTCTTTATTAAAAAAAAATACCATTAATTTATATAGAGGTTAATCAAGTTCCATGCACGAACCGTCATATTTTAAAAAGAATAACATGATTTTGTTCAGAATATGCAGTACCTTCACATTTCAAAATAATGCTGGTCACTTCACCCGCCTGAAGAGCTTCAGAGCCTCAAGACTCATTTCCAGGAGGGTGCTGCTCCCTTGCGATGTGTGGCCATGAATGCCATGATATTGTCAGGTTGGCTTCCTCGTTTGTAGGAAACCAGGGAAAGCCCACCACGGCATAGCAGGGGGTGACACTCAGCACCGCGGTGGGCGAGGGGTGGGGGGACAGGGGGGTGAGGGCCTCTTGCAAACCCCCCCTCCCCCCCCCCCACATCTACAACACCTGGCAAAGCCCTGGTGGTCGCTCACATACAAAGTCACACATGGGCTCAGTCAAGCAGGGGCATATTGCAGTTCGTCATCGCCGCGGCTGGAAGATCCCTCGCTGAGGTATCGAGAATTTGTCACGAGGGTCCCGCCAAGTTTTCGCCCTTAGGGGAGGGGGGCATGATTGCTCTGTGTTATATCGTTTTTCATATTGAGGGGATGGTTTTGTTGATCGAATTTGGCCAATATTGGACCGCGACGCAGGCACGTTCATGGCCAAACTCTCGCCAATGACGTCACGGGAATCTCTCAACGCCCGCCGTGCAGTATTAACCAGGGCGTCCTGCTGGCTTCAAATCCGTGAACCTCTCCGCAAGGCCATTGTGTGCCCTACGCGGCACGCATGCCATTTAAATTTGTAAACGAAAGCTATTTCAAACGTAAGTGTTTTATTTTATTTTACCACCTAAGGACAAAAGAGCTATACAGCTCTTGTTCAGAAGCGACCTGGCCACAATTGATAGCTCAACGAAGTGGTTCACAATGTGGAGATGTACAGCAGCCAAATACTCTAAACGCGTGATGTTGATTCTAAATGTGGAGGGGGGTGGGAGGGGAACCGCAGGAGCCGGAGACAAATCAACGCGATCACGGGGAGAACGTCCAAACTCCAAATACACAGCGGCAGGCGTCAGGGTCGGGATAGAACCCACGGGTTAACATCTAGCCACCGTGGCGCACATTGACATACCAACGTACACATTACAAATGTATTTTACGCCGGAATTGCGAGATGTTAACTCCCTCGCCCGGTATCCATGACCTCGTGGGTTCGATCCCGACCATGGTACTTGCTGTAATATTATAGTACTCCAGTCAAACAAAAAGCTACGTTTTTGTTGTTGTTGTAATTTACATTTTGCCCCATCTCTCCGCGTGAGCAGGTGGTGTTTGCACTCAATCAGTCGCTGTCGCAGCACGAGAGCGTGCGGGGCCTGTGGGAAGCGCGGGGAGGAGTGGGGGGCCCCTGGGAGGAGCCCCCCACTCCGAGCACGGAGCAGCTCATCCAGCACTACAACTGCGGTGACCTCACGGCCTTCGTGTTCGGGCAAAACGCTTCGCAGGTACGTAGGCACACACGCACGCACACCAAAGACAAAGATCCCCCGTATAGCCTTGAACAGACTGTTGGGGCAAGTGCTGTTAGCGAGCACCTCTGAAGGCCGGAACGGCACACGAGGGGGTGGGTGGCCAGCACCACGCCCGACCGCATTTGTCTCCTCAGTGGCAACGTTTACACACCGGACCAGGTGCTCATTTGAGGCTGAGTCGACTTTGGGCATGCCCAGGACCGGTTCAGATAATCGTCACCGGTGTTGGCCGTGAGCGGGAATCGAACCCGGATCGCCAGGTTCGTAGCGCAACGCGCTAACCGCTACGCCACCGCTTCTCACACACACACACACATGACGCGTGTGTGTATGTGACAAGTGACATACACACACGTACACACAGATCAATGCGCAGATACGCATTTAAACACCCTCCATCACCAATACCCGCCAGTCGCCACAAAGTAACGGTGACGTCACCACGCGGCCTGTGCCAGGCCAGGTGCACTTTGAGGCCACCACGTGAAGTGTCGAAGGCTCGCTGCCGACAGGAGATCACGGGACAGACCCAGCAGGTGCCATGGGTTGGCTGACTCAGATGACCGGTAGATGCACCAGCAGCTGTACCCCCTACTGTGCCAACTCGCTGCATTTGCAGCATGCACGCACGCCCGCCCATCGAGAGATGAATGCCGGTGACAATCGAATGACTTTGTCAGTTATGAAGCGTTTTTCTCACAGCCAGGGCTCGAACCCAGGCTCCCTCGGCTGCGTTGGCTTGGTTGCTCCAACACGGACCATCACTAGCCCTCCGAATCAAGAGGCTGTGTACCCCCACTCCCCCACAGACCCTCCCCATTACTGTTATGGTACGGAGAGGCCTTTATCCAGAAGTTGCTTCACATTAGGCTCATCATTCTTTTCATCCACATTTTTGTTTACTCGGGATAGTTTCAAGATTGTTTTGTTTAAACCAGGTGGTGAGAATGTAGGAGACCTCATTTGCAAGAGTCACTTAGGCCACTGAAATGACAAAAGAAAAAAAACCGAACCAAATAAAACAGAGCAATGAAGCAAACAGAAAAATCAGAACAAGAATAAAAATACTCGCAGAGACCCATTTGCTGTGCTGCCATCGACTGCCACGTAAAGCGCCACGGTGGTGAGATGTTGACTCCCTCGCCTGGTATGCAGGAGGTCGTGGGGGTACAGGTGGCAGGGGGTTGAGAGACAGGGGGGCGGGGGGTGGGGGACAGGGAGGTGGGGGACAGGGGGGTGGGGGACAGGGGGGTGGGGGGGACAGGGGGTGGGGGCACAGGGGGGTGGGGTACAGGGGGTGGGGGTGGGGGGACAGGGGGGGGTGGGGGCACAGGGGGGTGGGGTACAGGGGGTGGGGGTGGGGGGACAGGGGGGGTGGGGGCACAGGGGGTGGGGACACAGGGGGGTGGGGTACAGAGGCAAGGGGGTGGGGACACAGGGGGTGGGGTGGTTGGGGGCCTCTGGGTAGCAAGGTGGTGGGACGGGGGGGGTGGGGGGACAGGGGGTGGGGGGGGAGAGGGCGTGGGGGGGTGGGGGACAGGGGGGTGGGTGGGGGACAGGGCGTGGGGGGTGGGGGACAGGGGGGTGGGTGGGGGCTTCCACAGGCTTGGACCCAGATATCCACGAGAGATGCTCCCCCCCGCCTCCCGCCCGGGGTGATTTGGCTGGGGGAAGCCGCGCGCTGCGCAGGGCCGAGTTTGTTTGGGACTCTGTCCTGGCGCCGATGCAACACAAGCAAACATAGCAGGGAGACGGGCGGTGGGCGACGGGCTGACTCGAAGACGTAAAACATAACACGACATTCACACGCAGCAGCGTGTGTGCGTTGCTGCGTGTGTCCACTGGTCAGTTGGAGGCGGTCGCCATCCAACAACACCGAGCGGAGCCCCCGGGCGGATAAAATAGAACGATTTGGCACAGGTGGCGGGGGGGGGGGGGGGTCACGGCCGCTGCATCGGCGGCGAAAATCTGAACCCATCCTCTTGGTCAACTCAGCCTTGAGACGGGCACAAGGTGTGGCGTGAGAAGTTAACAACGCCACCCCCCACGTTGTACGCGTGCGTGTTGATGCGGTTGAGCAGCGAGCACGCCGATTCCCGACCACGGCTGACGTCGATTTCAAGTGATATATGGAACCAGTCCTGGGGCCTCCTCTCGGTTGACTCGAGCGTACAAATGAATCACACCTCGTGCGGTGTGCAAACATCAGCACCATGGGGACATGAACGCAGCAGGCATGATGCTGGCCCCACACACCTCCCGATCCTCTGTTTAGGCCTTCATAGGTGATCGCTGACAGCACTTGCCTGACCAGCGTTGCGTGGGCACCAGGGGGGATTTCTGTTTTTTTCGCTTTGGATGCGTGTGTGGGGTGGCCATCGTTCTGAATGGTCAATTATACGTCTGTAGCTGGCATGTGTGCTCGTCTAGTCCATTGGTTCCCTAGTCCAGTGATTCTCTAGTCCAGTGGTTCTCTAGTCCAGTGGTTCTCTAGTCCTTTGGTTCTCTAGTCCAGTGGTTCTATAGTCCATTGGTTCTCTAGTCCAGTGATTCTCTAGTTCAGTGGTTCTCTAGTCCAGTGATTCTCTAGTCCAGCGATTCTCTATTCCAGTGGTTCTCTAGTCCAGTGATTTTCTAGTTCAGTGGTTCTCTAGTCCAGTGGTTCTCTAGTCCTTTGGTTCTCTAGTCCAGTGGTTCTCTAGTCCATTGGTTCTCTAGTCCAGTGATTCTCTAGTTCAGTGGTTCTCTAGTCCATTGGTTCTCTAGTCCAGTGGTTCTCTAGCCCAGTGGTTCTCTAGTCCAGTGGTTCTCTAGTCCAGTGGTTCTCTAACTCAGTGATTCTCTAGTCCAGTGATTCTCTAGTCCAGTGGTTCTCTAGTCCAGTGGTTCTCTAGTCCAGTGGTTCTCTACTCCAGTGGTTCTCTAGTCCAGTAGTTCTCTAGTCCATTGGTTCTCTAGTCCAGTGGTTCTCTAGTCCATTGGTTCTCTAGTCCAGTGATTCTCTAGTTCAGTGGTTCTCTAGTCCATTGGTTCTCTAGTCCAGTGGTTCTCTAGTCCAGTGCTTCTCTAGTCCATTGGTTCTCTAACTCAGTGATTCTCTAGTCCAGTGGTTCTCTAGTCCAGTGGTTCTCTAGTCCAGTGGTTCTCTACTCCAGTGGTTCTCTAGTCGAGTGGTTCTCTAATCCAGTGGTTCTCTAATCCAGTGGTTCTCTAGTCCAGTGATTCTCTAATCCAGTGGTTCTCTAGTCCAGTGGTTCTCTAGTCAAGTGGTTCTCTAGTCCCGTGGTTCTCTAGTCCCGTGGTTCTCAGAGTGTGGCCCACGGTAACTCCAGGTGGTCCGCGATGGCTGTGATGCCAACGCGGGTTGATCCAGACAATAATGACAACTTTTTTGATCTATATTTGGAGTTTGCGTGTCTCTCTCTCATCATCATCACGGTGGCTAGGAGATGTGAACTACCTCACCTGGACTACAGGAGGTCGTGGGTTCGATCCCGACCCTGACGTCTGCTCTATATTTGGAGTTTGTGTGTCTCTCTCTCATCATCATCATCACGGTGGCTAGGAGATGTTATTTACCTCACCTGGTCTACAGGAGGTCATGGGTTCGATCCCAACCCTGACCCCTGCTGCTCTATATTTGGAGTTTGCGTGTCTCTCTCTTTCTCTCCCGACGCGGTCGTGTGGATTTTTCTCCGGGTCACTTTCCACATTTAGTGTCGACACGCGTTTCCATTACTTGTCTGCTATGAATGTCCACATGATGATGAAGCCACTTGGTTGAGAGCTATCATTCGTAATAGACAGGTCGCTTCCGAAAAGAGAGCCACTATAGAACTTAGTGGGGCCTTACCTGATTAAAAAAAAACATTTCTGAATGGCAACAAGACAGGTGTTAAGCCTTTTGGCGTCCTCTGGTCTAACACCGCTTGAGACGAGGCTCAAAAGAAAGCTGTCTCTGGTGTGGACCTATCAGTTTTAAAGACAATGCATCATATTATCAGATTATTTTTGGGTTTGCATTCTGACCACAAGTATTGTGGTTAATGTAGACATGATTCCCTGTAAAAGGTTTCAGTTTGGTGTTTTAACAACTTAACACCTGTTTTGTTGCCAGACAAAAGGGGAAAAACCTATTCTCAACATTTTTTTATGTTTACAAAAAACAGAAGAGTTCGCAAATCGGCTTGGAGAGAGATGCGCGCGCTCAGAATTGCACCGAGAATCGGCAGCGCAACACGTGGTCTAGAGCGGTGGTTCTAAAACGTTGTTTGGCCCGTGCCACCACTCAACCAATGCAAACATTTCCAGGGACCACGCCAGCCTGCCTCCACCACCCCCATGCAAAAAAATGATTCATGTTAACGTTAATATATATGTAGTGGAGTAGAAGATACACATGGGTAAATTGGCCATATACAGTACATACAAACAGTGTGGGTCACATAAGGTCGAGCAGGTGGTGAAGTCACGGGTGGCGTATGCAAACCAAAGTAATTAAGGGAGTCAAGGCACGAGGTCTGTGATTGGTCGAGAGGCTGTTAGCGTTAAGTGGCGGCGTCACGAAGTCTGGGCCGTTGGACAGGTGCGAGCTGGCGGAAAAATGCCAGCGAGGCACGTGGCAATTAATTAAGGCTGATTGGAAAGGGGATAAAACGCTAGGTGATTTGGACGGGGAGTTGAGTTGTTGTTGGCGAGAAGTGGAGAGAGCAGCGAGAGATGCGAAGAGGGGAGCCGGCAAGTGAAGAATAGATTAAGAGCCGAACCCAGAGGACAATAAATAGCGATAGGGAGAGTTAGCGTTAGCAGAGTGGAGATTACGGTATAGGTAGGTACAGGGAGAGTTAGCGATAGATAAGTCACTGTGTGTGAAGAGATAGACAAGTCACTGTGTGTGAAGAGATAGACAAGTCACTGTGTGTGAAGAGATAGACGAGTCACTGTGTGTGAAGAGATAGACAAGTCACTGTGTGTGAAGAGATAGACGAGTCACTGTGTGTGAAGAGATAGACGAGTCACTGTGTGTGAAGAGATAGACGAGTCACTGTGTGTGAGGAGATAGAGAGAGAACCACTGTGTGTGTGGTGAGTGAAGAAGAGACTGTGTGGGGAGACGAGGAGTATGATCGGACGGTGCTGAGGGGAATTCGAGTGTTCGAGTTGGCGGAGCGCGGAGAGGAGAAATTATAGTGTCTGCGGAACGATGGAAATAGAAGTGATGGAAGAAAGGCGATTGTCGTCCGAGTGAATCCAAGGCACTACATATATATATAAAACGCGGCGATAAGGTTATTTGTTAGGGGTGGCATTTAGATTTTAGGGTTAGGGTGGTTTAATCAGGGTAGTTTACCTAACTTCACTTTTAAATTATTTTCAATTTCCAATCCGCCACCCTTCGGCCTTGAGCTGAGCCAGCGGCTGAGGGTTGATCGTCGACTCGGGCTCGCTCGCACCGACGGAGAGGGCCACGCAGGCCGAGAGGGCTTGCCGGGCAACATTCCCGTTCGTTCGTTCGTTTGTCCGTCCATCTGTTCTCTCTTCTCTGTGCTTTCAACGCCGCATACGCCATCAGCCCATCGCCCCATTTTCACGTTCGTTCGTCTGTACGCGTGTGTGTGTGTGTTTTTTTCATTCTCTCGGTCAGCCCCAAG